AAGTATAAAATGAAATGTATTAACTACATAATTGAAAACAAAGTGTGATTTCTTAAATTAGAGTCTCCACTGATTAAATTAAGAAACGATTTGAGTTTGAAATTGGATCGATATTTTTACTTGTATAATAAATTGCATGGACTTGGCTCTAGGCTAGGTTATCCCACACTATGTCTTTGCTTTAGGTTTATTTATCAATTTATTTAAATCATACCAACATTCACTACACTTACAAGGTTTCACGGCCTCCTTTCATCCCCGTCATTAAAATCGTAATGAGCAGATATTAAACGGACCATTCTAGCTTTTACATAGGTTAGATAACGTGACGTATAGTATAATAATAATCTATAATACTTTTATTATTATCGTACCTTTACGACTTTTTTATGTTTCTGGGAAATAAAAATATGTTGAAAATATTTTTTGCCTGTTCTTCTATGCTAAAATAGGTTCAACATACACACACTGACATAATCATCTAGAATATATCAACCTAACAACTTGAAAAAAGCCGGGTACTTTCGCTAGTGTTAAATAAAACTAAAGATGAAATCAGTCTAGCGGATAAAATGCGTATTTATAAAATTGAATGCAAATGTGGTGGTGTATATAATGGTCAAACTAGAAAAGTTTTTATAAAATTAGGGTAAATTAACATAAGAAAAATGTTAAAAACAAAAGTGACAACCCTGCACTAGCTGAACATGAAAATGATACTGGTCATGTTATCCAGTGGAAAAAAAAAGAAACTGTTAATTTGGCACAACCGAATAATACAAAGACTAGAAATATTAGAGAAGCCATAGAAATAATAAAACACACTAAAAATAATTTAATTTTAAATAAGGATGAAGGGTTAGAAAATCAGAAAGTAAGAAGAAGTCGTGATCTTTTTTAAATACGTAAACTAGTAGTCACATGACCATGGCTTTTTGTGTTTATATATTGCAGAGCATGTAATGACGTGAATGACTTTGAATCATGCAGAATGCATTTTTATGACCGTGATTTTATTTTTTAAATAATATTTAATTACGTATTACACAACGTTGACCGTTTGAGTATTTGAATAGATTTAGGATAAAATATAGAATCGTTTACTATTTAATCACAAATACTACTTAATTCTGCAGTTTAATGTATGTGCATATTCGAAAATATTAGCATTCAGTATAAAAGGTTGAGCTGTACGAACACTTTCCATCTGAGGGAATCGAACCCCAGATTCTAGCGCTGTAAGTCCGTATAATTGCTGGTGACCCACTGGGAGGCTGTTCAGTTATATTTATGAATTTTTTAAATAACATTATGGTGTTACATAATTACCCAGAAAAAATATCAAATAACATTATGGTGTTACATAATTACCCAGAAAAAATATCAACTAACATTATGGTGTTACATAATTACCCAGAAAAAATATCAAATAACATTATGGTGTTACATAATTACCCAGAAAAAATATCAACTAACATTATGGTGTTACTTAATTACCCAGAGAAAATATCAAAGAACATTTCGAACTTCCCACAATTAGATCGTACAATTTAATGTCATATTAAAAATTATGATTTACAAAATTCGCGTGCCCCCCAGTGGCACAGCGGCATGTCTGCGGACTTACAACGCTAGGGACCGGGTTTCGATACCCGTGGTGGGCAGAGCACAGATAGCCCTTGTGTAGCTTTGTGCATAATTAAAAACAAACAAACAAAATTCGCATACTACATGACTATTATTTAAGTTTAGATGTATAATATACGCATGCTGCAGGTGAGAATTAAGATAAAATCATGCGCATATGACTTGGTGATTATTTACCCTTGTTAGATGTGCAACATGCACATGCTACCCGGCTGATTGCTCATATTAAGTTTGTTAAGATGTATGAATAATCTTAGAATATATAATATACAGTTTAACGTCCAGGTCAAGCTTAAAGTGCACGAACACGCTGATTTCACTTGGTTTATTGTTCGGTTAAGACTTAACAAATAATACACGAACATCCCTCGATTATGAGGTTTACTGTTTAGCTTATGAGTCAGTAAATTCAGGTGTTTCTCTTTGTTTTATATAGAATCAAGGAAGAGTTACAATATTTTGGGCAGACTAGACTTAGGATATCTTTATAATAGTAGGCCTAATCGTAAAGGCAGTTTTTTGG